GTCCCGTTATCGGGGAGCCAAATACACTGTGGGCTCTGTAGTATATGCTTTATACTGCCCAGCCTGCAGTGCAGGGTGGCAGCCAGCTCCGTGGGAGCTGGTGCACGCTGGAAGCCGGCTTTTCAATAGGCTGCTGGCACACACCAGCTCCCACCTACCGCCCCACTCCTGGGGAGCCAACACATTTATGCATTCTGGATCAGAGGCAGCAGCGCAGAGTGGCAGCTGGCCCCCTGGGAGCCGGTGCGTGCCGGGAGCCGGCTTTTAAGCCAGCTTTGGGCATGAACTGGCTCCTGACTGCAGCCCTACTCCTCGGGTTCTGATACAGAGCCAGCAGTGCGGGGTGGCAGCCAGCTCTCTGGGAGTGAGGGTGGGTGCCTGAGTGTAACGATTACATTAACCGATAAGCCCACACTTCTTGGTTAACCGTTTAAACGGTTATAGTATTACATCCCTAATTTATCCTGTATCCTAAGCCCAGCTCTGGCTGGCTGTGAAGGGACTATGGAGAAACCTGTGAGCTTCTGGGGAAATCAGTTACAAACATAAGAAAGGGATAGAAAATAAGACACAGAATATCTCACTGTCCCTGTATAAAACTATAGTACGCCCACATCTTGAATACTGTGGACAGATGTGGTCTCCTCACCTCAAAAAAGATATTTTGGCCTTGGAAAGGGTTCAGAAAAGGGCAACTAAAATGATTGGGGGTTTGGAACTGGTCCCATATGAAGAGAGGTTAAAGAGACTGGGACTTTTCAGTTTAGAAAAGAGGAGACTGAGGGGGGATATGATAGAGGTCTAGAAAATCATGAGTGGTGTGGAGAGGGAGGGTATGTCGACACTACAAAGTTAGTTCGAACTAGCGCTGTAGTATAGACGTACCCTTAATGAATGGTGTAATGAAGTTAATGGGTAGCAGGTTTAAAACTAATAAAAGAAAGTTCTTCTTCACACAGTGTGTAGTCAACCTGTGGAACTCCTTGCCAGAGGAGGCTGTGAAGGCTAGGACTATAATAGAGTTTAAAGAGAAGCTAGATAATTTCATGGAGGTTAGGTCCATAAAAGGCTAATAGCCAGGGGATAGAATTGGTGTCCCTGGCCTCTGTTTGTCAGAGGCTGGAGAAGGATGGCAGGAGACAAATCGCTTGATCATTGGCTTCGGTCCACCCTCTCTGGGGCACCTGGAGCTGGCCACTGTTGGCAGACAGGCTACTGGGCTAGATGGACCTTTGGTCTGACCCAGTACGGCCAGTCTTATGTAACATTTATGTTAGTGACTAAAATCTCTTTTCTTTCTCTTTGTCCCTGCTCCACTGCCCTGCCCTGGCAGGTCTCCTGCTCTCCATCGGTGTATCTCCAGGACATGGCGCTGAGTGTCCCAGGAACGATTCCTCTCTGCATCGTTAGCCTCGGAGTTCTGCTCCTGGCTTATGCTCGCCTTGCTGACGCTGGGTAAGATGACAAGAACAGGAGGGTTTTACTAATACTGATGACAGAGGACGCCGCACACTCTGGTTGAGATAGCCGAGAGTAAGGTCCCTAACCCCCACTTTTATGCACTTGGGGTTTTCCAACTTAGGCCGGGGTAGTCTTCTTCTAGGTTTTCTTTAAACTGTGCTGATATAAACCCAGAAGAGTGGCCATAACCCTGCCAAAAACTTGCTGTAGGGTTCATGTGTCTCTTACAGCTCTCCTCTGCTCTGATTCGTCTTCTACTCAGGATATTAGTTGCACTCTTCTTCTGCTTTGCAGTGTTTTGCTGTTGTACTCGGCTTCCCGCGGGTGCCTGCAATATTCCAGCATCACATAAGACAAGTGCACCCTCCTCTTCTCGGAATAGTCCCTCCCGCGCAGCTGAGCGGGACCGTGATGATATTAGCATTGTTCAAGCCGCTCGAGCTAAGACTGTGTCAGCGCTTTTATGACAAAACCAATTTTCTAACTTGGCCCATGAGCAATTTGCTCTGGGCTAGAACTTGGCAGCTGGCTTCCAGGCGAGGCCTGCGAGGAGCTCTCTTGAAATTTCTGTTACGAAATTTGAAACATGGTGTTGATTCAGCTGTTTGACTGGGACACGTGTAAACAACAAGGCTACGTCTACACTGGCATGATTTTCCGAAAATGCTTTTAACGGAAAACTTTTCCGTTAAAAGCATTTTCGGAAAAGCGCGTCTAGATTGGCAGGATGCTTTTCTGCAAAAGCACTTTTTGCGGAAAAGCATCCGTGGCCAATCTAGACGTGCTTTTCCGCAAAAAAGCCCCGATCGCCATTTTCGCGATCAGGGCTTTTTTGCGGAAAACAGTACTGTGCTCTCTACACTGGTCCTTTTGTGCAAAAGTCTTTCGGAAAAAGACTTTTGCCCGAATGGGAGCAGCATAGTATTTCCGGAAAAGCACTGACAATCTTACATGAGATCATCAGTGCTTTTCCGGAAATTCAAGCGGCCAGTGTAGACAGCTGGCAAGTTTTTCCAGAAAAGGGGATGATTTTCCGGAAAAACTTGCCAGTCTAGACACAGCCCAAATGAAAAGTGCTTTGCTCTTGGATGGGGTGCCTGGCCTCGGCTAGTAGGTCTTGGGTTTGTCCAACTGCTTGAGATACCACGGCGAGACCTTGCCTGCTTTCTTGCACTCCTAAAATGGCTCTGACCAGAGGGAACAGGGGCCCGCTTGTCCATAAATGGACACTGGTGGTCAGATTATTTTGTAGTCCAGTGGCAGCATATCGCTCTGTCAGCGAGCGGGAGGGGAGATACTCCCACGAGACCCCTTGTGGTTGATTGTCCTGGGATAAAAGATCACCCTCCTGAATTCTGACAGTCTGCGGGCAGTGGTGAGGAAGGAAGAGATCCTAAAGTAAAAGGATTTGACATAGAGCTACTAGCAGATGTCACTGGCAGTGCTCAGGTCTTTAAGGGAAGTAATGGGGGTTTGGAGTTTGTGTGGAAAATACAAGGAAAAAATACGCACTTTAGTGAAATGATTGCATGTTTCAAAAATGCAGGACAAAAAGAAGGCAGCTGATTTAAACAATAGACAGAGCTTGTGGGGCGACAATATTTGCAGTTTATCTGTCTTTTGCTAGAATAAAAAGGGGGTAAGGGCAGGGGGTGGAAGGGGCTTGATTAAGGACAGGGATGGAGGGCTGAGGGCACAGGGTTTGGTGTGGGGGGGTCTCAGGACAGAGGGTGGGGGGGCTGGGAGCCACAAGGCAGGGGATGGAAGGTTCTGGAGTGGGGCTGAGGGCCAGGGGTGGATATAGGGCAGGGCGAGCAGGGCGGCCGCCCCCGGCCCCGCGCTTCAAGAAGCCCCGCGCATGCGCCGTGGCAAAGCGGGCCCCGCAAAATGGTCATCTGCACCTGCTGAGGGGCCTGGGTTTGGTGATCAGGGGGCGCAGGGGAGGGATGCAGAAGTCTGCACAGAAGTTTGGGGGGCTCAGGGCAGAGGATGAGAGCTTACCGGGGCAGCCTGTGGCAGCGAGGGTGGTGCTGCTCTGGCAGAAGTGTCTCCCCGGCCATGGTTCGGCAAATTCTCAGGTTCAGTTCCAGTCAGGTCCTGAGGGTGCCGGACTAGAGGTTCTACCTGAATTTGCGTTGCACATCCCACCAGGCCCCGTTCCTACAAACACACGCTTGTATAAACGTAACGCCGATGGCGGAACTGAACCTGGGGCTTCTGGCGCTCGAGTGGAAAGCCAGCTGGCACCCAGCTAAGGCTGTAGGGCCGACTCATTCTCTGGCTCTGTAAGTGGTCTAGGTGCCACTCCATGGGACAGCGACCCACATCCGGTAGGTATGTGGGTTACACCAACATGCAGCGAGGTTCTCCCCAGCCTCTAGGCACGCACCTGCTCTTGTGCACTCTCACGTCGATTGCAGTCAAACCCCCGAGCTAAAATGGCTCCTTCTGACTTGCCGCACGCTGAAATCTCCCTCTAAGAACTGCTCGATCCTTCCCGAGAGGCAATAACTCCCTTGTCTCCAAGCTGTGGTGAAAGGCTTCGTTCGCTTCTTACAGGAACGGGGTTCCGAGCAAAGGCCAGAACGCTTGCTGAGTCGCTGTTCCTCCAATTGCGCTGCCTCAGTGCTTTCCCGGTGCATCCTGGGAGCTATACACTGCTGGTGGAAACGCTCGTTCCGTTTCCATCCCTTCTCCCCTGAAGATACACCCCTCCCTTGCGCTGGAACCGGCAGTCCGTGGTGATAAGGTGGCAGCAAGAGCCACGCAGAGATGCTCCTGATTCTGCCCTTTGAAATTTTTCTCTCCCTGGCGGTGCTGCTTTTTTCACAGAATCTTCTAAGCAAGCTGTGAACCCCACAGTGAGTCAAAATTTCAAATGTCAAACTAAGCAAAATGATTTCCAAATTAGACAAGATGAGTTTGCTGATTGCTAGCAAACCCCTGCCAGGCACTGCGTTTAAAACTCTGTCCCGTCACGCTCTGTATTAAGGCTTCATTTTAAATAGCTTACGAACCAGAAATAAATTAATCGCTGTGGTTAGCACAGAACCAATATACATTTCATGAGTTCTAAACCAGGAGTTCTCAGCCAGGAGTATGTGTACCCCAGGAGTGCTTAGAGGTCTTCCAGAGGGTATATCAGCTCATCTAGATATTTGCCTAGTTTTACAACAGGCTGCATAAAAAGTCCGTACAAACTACAAATTTTATATAGACAATAACTTGTTTATACTACGGATTGAACCTCTCTCATCCGGCACACGCTGGTCTGGCAATATTTGTGGTCTGGCATGATTTTAGTTGGCTGGATGTCCACTTATCATGGGTGTGGCCAAGTTTCCCGTGGTTCCATAAAGTCTGTTTACAGCCACCAGTCCCGGCTCTGTGTTCTGTGCTGTTATTTAGCTTAATTTACCCCCTAAATGTCTTCTAAGAGCCCAGAAAGCAGTGGAAGTATTGGTAACGCTGTTAGACAATATTGACCTCCGGAGGTCTGGCAAATTCTCTGCTTCCGGGGTACCAGGCTAGAGAGGTTCAAACTGTAGTTTCTATATCACGCACTGAAATGTAAGTGCAATATTAATTTTCCCTTTAGATTTATTTGATAATTATAAGGTTAAAATGAGAAAATAAGCAATTTTTCAGGCACAGTGTGCTGTAATTTTTTAAAATTTTGATGTCTGATTTCATAAGCAAGTAAATTTTAAATGCGATGAAACTTGGGGGTACACAAGACCAATCAGACTCCTGCAAGAGGTACAGTACTCCGGAAAGGTTGAGAACCTGTGTGCTAGATGTCATAAGCACATCAGAAGAAGGTGGGATAGATGGTTAAAACCCATGGTTAAGCAACCTGTTGGACATCATTCCAATTGCGCTATTACAAAGCCATTTATTAAAAATGGTTGTTTATTACATCTAGTAAAAAATCAGATTTCTGTCTCATGGATATTTTTAAAATTGTTCTTGTACCAAATCTGCACATAAGTCCTCTCTCTGTGTGTGTGTGTGTGTGTGTGTGTGTATACAGGCAGTCCCCGGGTTACGTACAAGATAGGGACTGTAGGTTTGTTCTTAAGTTGAATCTGTATGTAAGTCGGAACTGGCGTCCAGATTCAGACACTGCTGAAACTGACCGCCAGTTCTGACTTACATACAGAATCAACTTAAGAACCCCAGGCGTCCCCAAGTCAGCTGCTGCTGAAACTGATCAGCAGCTGATTCCAGGAAGCCCGGGGCAGAGCAACTCTGCCTGGGGCTTCGCAGCGAGAAAGCCCCGTTCGTAAGTGCGGATCCGACGTAAGTCGGATCCGCGTAAGTCGGGGACTGCCTGTATATGCAATAACATGTCACTTACTTTTGAGATATTTTCTGCAATCTGGTAGCTAAATATTTATTTAGTTTTAATTTATTTATTCTTCTTTGAAAACCATGTTCTTTCGAAATCAGTTCACCTTATCGATAATTTTAAGTTCTGCTAGTGATTAAATTTGTATCTAGTTAAAGGGATGGGGACCTATGGCCCAGCATGCGGCATGTCTTGATCCGGCCCACGAGGCTTGGGCTCTCTCTTCCCACAACAGAGCAAGCCAGAGCTGGCTTGTCCTGCTATGGAGTCCGGAATCCCAAGCGTAACAGGCTGGATCAATGCAAGTTACAGGCTGCATCGGGCCCACGGGCTCTGCCTAGCAGGGGAGAGGAAGTGGTTCTTCATTCTGATGTCATCCCCTACTCCCTCTGGCTGGGGAAATGGCAGCTCAGAGAAGCTCTGGTCATGTGCTCACATGCGGTTCTACCACAGGGGAATGGTCAGAGGCCATCTGGGGGACCACCAGCCATGCAACTCCTCCCCCAACACAGGGAAGGGTCAGGACCATTCCTCTTCACCTCTGCTCTACTCTTCCCTCTCTTGCGCTGTCCTCTCCCTGCCTCTCCTCTTCCCCCCAACCAAAGCAGCGCCGTGGACCAGCAGGGCTGGTGTCAGCAGTAAAGGTCCAGTCCCCCGCCCTCCTCTGCACTCGTCAGCAGAAGCAGGGGGCCGGCCTCCAGCAGACCAGGGGCATCGGGAGCAAAGCAGCATCCCTGGCGGGTTTGCTGGAGACGGTCTCCAGCAGACCAGGGGCACTGCGAGCAAACCCGCAGCCGTGGCGGGTTCCCGCGCTTCTGAGGCTTTGCTCTGGCAAAGGCTCAGAAGCGCGGGAACCCGCCCGGTGCCCCTGGTCTGCTGGAGACGGTCTCCAGCAGACTAGGGGCACCGGAGCAGCTTACGAACGGGCTTTCTCGCCCCGACTTCCGGGGCGAGAAAGCTCCGTTCGTAAGTGCGGATCCGACGTAAGTCGGATCCGCGTAAGTCGGGGACTGCCTGTATATATATATAATGTTTACACACAATGGAAAGATTCCAAAACACTTTTATTTTAATTTTTTTTTTACATTTTTGATAAAACCATTTGACTTTCCAGAATAAAAACATTTCATTTTGACTTGGCTAGACATTACTTACTATTTTTTCAGTGGCCACAGTGTCTTATAGGAGTTGTAGGCACAGTCCCCTTTCTAAATCTCTGATGATATACCATGGTCATGTGACTGCCATGATGCATCATGTCAGCTCAGCAAGACTAGGAACTGTGGTGCATCATGGGAAATGTAGTCCAGCTAGCCCGGGAGCCGGTCTCAAAGAGAAAAAATGGAGCCTTCAAATATTCCATGAGGTATGCAACAGCATGAGCAAACAGACAAATGTCAAGCAGATGTGAAATGAAACTTTTCAGTTATGGTCAACAAACTGAAGTATGTCAATTTCAGATCAAAATATTGCATTCTGATTTTTCCTGAAACAAAATAAAACAATGTTGACCGAATCAAATATTTTTCACAGGAGAATTTGGATTTTGCAGAAACTGAATTTTCTATCCCCTCCGCCTGCACAAAAATAAACAAAAAAACCCTATGGAAATGGAAAATTCCTGACCAGCTCTACTAATGATCTGTTACTGGCCCTTTATAAACTCATTGAATGTACCGGTAATATAAAGGCTGGTCCTCTAACCGAACCCCGTGCTAATCAATTGTTCTTGAAAATGCCAGCCACCCTTCTTCCCCAGGTTCTGCATTTCCTGCTTCAGTCTAGAACTGCGAAACACATCGCGAAGATGCTCTTCTTGTATCTCCAGCAAATGACAGATCTCTCTTGAGAGAGTCTGTTTTCAAGAGGTTTTGGACCCCACCTTGTTGCTTCCTAAGCCAAGAGCTCCGGCTAGTTTGGCTGAGGTTCATATAGACCTCGGGGGACTGCTCCTCTGACCCCTGTGAGGTTGTCTTGTCACTGACGTGCTGTGGTGGGCCGGGGTGAGCTGGACTAGTCGTCATTATCCCAGGCGGATTGCTCCACCCAGCGTATTTAGCAAAACTGTCAGAGCGATGAATGCACGGCTCATCTGGCAGGGCAGAATGGAGCCTGGTACAGGCATGCCAGAAACTCCTAGCCACTGCAGAGCCAACAGCACTTTCCTAAGAGGAATGCGTTGGGGCAGGAGGAATCAAAATCAAAGTCTGTGGTGCGGGAATGGGCACGCCCACTTGTTTTCTGCACCACAAAGGAAAGCTCCCCATCCACAAATCAACCCTTCATGCAGCAGCACCAAGGAACAACGCTTGAGTGGAGGAAGAAAAAAGAGAATAATGCAGAGGAAAAAAATCAGAAAGGGAGGGAAGGAAAGGGAGAAACCGCATTAAACGTGCAGAATCAGGAGGTAGGACTATGCCATGCTACTTTACCAGTCCCTAATAAGGGGTCCCACTCCAGTGGGTCCAGGGGTAGTGTTCTGCAGATGCACCTGTAAAATACACAGCCCACCACAGCTAGCACTGGTGTGTCCCCCTTTGCCTTGTGCGCTCATCTTAATCAAGCTGCTGCTCCCAAGTAATTTCTTTCTCCCGCTAGTCACAATGCATCGATTTGTCAGCGTTGGGCTGCAACCCCCACTAGATGAGGCTCCTGCAGCACTTCTAGCAATTCATCCGCTAAACCAGCCATTCGTCTCTGTGCCTGGCTGTGTTTCTTTATCTAGCGTGCTGCATGTCCAGTTTCTTAATCCTACCTTCCGTCTTCTTGGAGCTTAACTTCCCTGGGTCGTTCTTTTCCTCTCCCCACCTTTCCTGCAATCTCTGCATTTCTCTAGATTGTCCTGTTTGCTTTCCCTTTCGCTTAGTCTGTCTGTCCACTTGCAGTCCCTGCTGGTGTCTCCGGCTGGGATGCGAATGGTGGGGAAAGCCCCTACAGGCACCCTATTGACATTGGCCCTTAAACACTTTTGGGCATCTAGTGATTTGTGACTTGAATTTCAGAAGTGAATTGATCCCCGTGAGAATTGGTGTGCTTGGCATCTCTACTCACACCAAGGGCATGACTTTAAAGACTGCAACCTTTGAATGCTTATCCCAATATCTCCTTAGGCTTGCAAAATTGCATTGGAAATCTTGTGAGATGTATTGATATTTTCCTTGTTGCTTCTGGGTCAGAAAATACAGTGGGCGAAAAAAAGTCTTTCCGTACAAATGGCATTTCAGCATTTGTGCTCTGAACCGAACCAGGAAACATAGGCCAGTGAGACTGAAATTCAATTGGAAGTGGAGAAAATTTCAACCAACTTCAGAAACAATTTACTTCCTATTTAAGTGACAGTGCAGTGCCTCGTATCCAGAGTGGTTTGCTTATCTCTAATCCTTTGCAATGGGCCCTCCTGAAGGGCAGAGCCTATAAGCGTCTCTAGCCATGAGTTTTCCTGCATCTCTTGCTCAACGTCTCCTACTGGGAGAAAGTGGGACCGCAGTTACAGTGAGGTCTCCTGAGTTCTGCTAAACCTTTCTCATTAGGATGTTGAGTGGGAGATGCTAGAATAGGGCTGGATGATTCTCCCAACCAGTGCTCCTAACCCATTCCCCATGTGGCTGGTTAATGGGAGATTCTAGCACCTTAGGGTTCTTCTCCACTATGCCGGGGATCGATTTTATAGTGATTGATCTACCGGCCATTGATTTACCGTGTCTGCTTAGACATGATAAATCAACCTCCGAGTGCTCTCCTGTCGACACCAAGATAAAAAAGAGTAGCTGGTGTCGACGGGAGAGCAGTCCAGGCCGACCTTACTTGCCGCGGTGACTTGTGTGCCGTATGTCGACTTCAGCTCTGCTATTTGCATAGCTGACGTCACATTGATTAGCTCAATGGCAGGGGTTAGTGTAGAGAAGGCCAGTTGCCAGCACCCCCATACATCAAATGAGCACTCTACTGTCAGCTCTCTGCTGTCAGCCTCTGCTCTGGCTACCAGGGGAAGAGCTGCAATCAACCTCCTACACAAGTTATCCTGTGGACAAACATAAAACATATTGCAGCACAGGGCTGCAGACCTTGGCTGAATAAACATCTTTGTTTAAAAGAAGAGCTCAGGGCATATCAAGGCATGATTTCCAGTCTGATTTCTCCTCTTGCCTTTCTCTCTTTTCCCCAGGCTTTCTCAGAAGCATGGTCCAGATATTGTTGATGACAGCAAGGACAATATCACCATCTTCACACGCATCCTGGACCGGCTGCTGGATGGCTATGACAATCGGCTGAGACCGGGACTCGGAGGTCAGTCTGCATTGGGAGGGTTTTCTTTTCCTTCGCCTCATAGGTCTAGAAATGAGTTATATGTTTACACACAAAGTAATATCAAGCAACCCTCCATGGAGTAAGGTGGGGAAGGGGGGAAATTCAGTCCCACAGTTGTTCTTTTCCCTGGTTCTTTATAACCCCAACGATCTTCTGGTGGGAGAGAGACCCACCTCCATCTCCTGAGGTGAGAGAGGAAGAGGGTCTCTCTTTGACCTAAGTCCTGAGTTTCTATGATAGCTGCATGAATGGACCTCTAAATGAACCAATGATGGCTTCTCTTCCTACACTAATGGACCCAACCCACCTCCTAGAGAACACTTTCTCTTGCGGAAAGAATAGAGTTTGGTCTTCAAGTTCATTCAGTCCTGGGCTCCTACCTCAAGGCTCCACCAAATGAAAGCCTAGACACAAACCAAGCCAACCCATCCCAGGCATTCTTGGGCTCCGCTTTCATTCCCATTTCCTAGCGCAGAACCCCAGGGAGCAGCAGGTCAGACCGATGTCCTTCCGGCCAGCTGACGTCAAAGGAATGCCCTTTCAGTATCAAAAGAATTTCTTCGGTGTCTGCATCCCATTTAGTAATTCCTTGGGAGATTCTTCTCACACTGGGTCTTAGCCAGATCTCTCTCACTGGGCCTCCAGGGTCATCCGAACTTCACGGTCATCAGGAATGGGTTTTTTAAGCATCCAGAATTGTGCTGAGTGCCTGATAAGGCAAAGTCCCTCCGGCAAAGAGTGGACAGTATAACTGTGCATGACATGATGCAGAAGGACCACAGCTGGGGTGTGCCGTGGGACGAGAGTGACTTGTAAGACGAGGAGGTTATGGACTGAGGCATGGGCACAGAATGGGGGGGGGGTAGGACCGGAGGGGTGGGAATTCATTATCTTTCTTCCCCTTAGCTTGGTGTAGGCTTTGCATCCAATTTTTTTCAGAGGGATGTGACGGGGGCATGTGATGCGGCTCTCTCTCAAGGTTCTCCAGTGCCCAGAGGTTGCTGGCCATTGTCTACCTGTGAATCCAGGGTACTGGGTTTAGTTTGACTTGCACTGTGTCTGAACATAAGAACGACCAGACTGGGTCAGACCAAAGGTCCAGCCAGCCCAGTGTCCTGTCTGCCGACAGTGGCCAATGCCAGGTGCCCCAGAGGGAGGAAACACAACAGATAATCCTCACATGATCCCTCTCCTGTCACCCATTTGCAAACAAACAGAGGCCAGGAACACCATTCCTACACACCCTGTCTAATAGCCATTGATGGACCGAACCTCCATGAAGCTATCCAGCTCTTTTTTGAACCCTGTTAAAGTCCTGGTCTTCACCCCATCCTCTGGCAAGGAGTTCCGCAGGTTGACTGTGAGCTGAGTGAAGAAAAACGCCCTTTTGTTTGTTTTAAACTGCTGAGCGTTCCCGCACCTCACTGCCCCTGGGCCATTCAGGACGGCGAGGAGAAGCTGAGCCCTCCCATAGAGAGGCCTAGCACTACGTCTGCCGTCGCTTCTGCTGGAATTAGTACGGCAGCCAACTCCCCCCCTCCCCAGTGAGTACTTTGGCAGCTGGGGACGGTGACGTCTGTGACGTCAGTAATTGCGGGCTCCCCCTCCCCTGCAAGCTGTAGTTCTTTACTGCTCCCAGCAGCTGGGAAGGTGGCGAATGGACTCCCTCAGGTCCCCATATTCTGCCGCTTCTATAGGAAAATCTGCTGGGAACGCAGCTGCTCTAAGGCCAGGCTATCTTAGAGGGAGGCTCTTGCTCCGTTCCTTCCAGTGACGCCTGCTGGAAGAGGCTTACTAATCTGTGCTGCCCAGCATGCGGGTTCCTCTCCTCTTTGCTCCGGTCTGTCCTGCTCTCCATGTACGATGGCCAGAGTCTCCTTTTCTAACAGAGTCCTGCACTGTCGCTCCCTCCGCTCCGCGCCCTCCCACCCTCGCTGCTCCTGCAGGCCGACCCCTCTCCCACGAAATCAGCCAAAACCCAGCCCGCTCTTCTGCCTTCAGCAACCTGCCTGGCTGCATGATGCACTCGCCCAGGAAGGAAGGGGTTAAAATATCTGCATAGGCCATCCATCAGTTTTATTGCTTTGACTGCTCCTCGCGCTCCCCCCGAATTAACTGCAATCCCGCTGATAGCTTTGCTTCCTCGAACCTCTCCGAGGAGTGGATCGATGCCAATGAAATGCATCTGAAAGAGGACTTAGGGGACATCGGTGGCTGATTCTGGGCTCAATAGCGAAGCAATCCCCAGCGCCAACAATTAACAAGAGGACTCCCATGAGGCCCTCCTGGAGAAGTTAAAACCTTCCTAGGAATGTCTCTGGGATATTGCGCTCGGTCCTGCAGCGAAACTGGGAACATAATGAATTGCCTTTGTCTGAGCCGGATCTAGCGCAGCCTGCACAAAGCCGCCCTCACCTCGGCTTCCCCCTCATGCGGCGTTTGTTAAGGGCTGCGCCAGAGGGGAGGGGCTGGCCAAAGTAAGAAATAAGGTTCTGCGCGAGGGCTGAGCGGCCGTGTGGGGGGCGAGCCTGCTTCCATCTCTGAGCGCGGCTGTGGGGGCAGGCACGTTGCGGACTCTGCAGCCAGGGTCTCTGAGGGCTGCGGGGGCTGTTGGGGGGGGCCTCTGGTGGAGGGAGAGGTGGACACTAACGGGTTAGGGGGTGGAGGGCGGAGGGTAAACGGGTGTCTTGGGGTGCCATTCACCACTATTTGGTTCTATTGACCCAGATGCCATGCGGGTGCTGCTTCCTATTAAGTCAGCCACTGCACGGCTGGTCGCCATCTTGCTGCTCCGGCTTACCTCAGGGATATCAGTCAGCCATCTGCACGGACCAGGCCGTTCGCAGAGCCTGCGCCTCCTGGCATTCTTCGGGATCCCCTCTCCCACCCGTTCGCCTCTCTCCCTCCATCGTGCCTTGTTCTGGAGGAGGCTTCCGGTAGCTCTGCGCAGTTTGCTTTGGGGGTGCGATTTAGCCTCCCATATAGCACAGTGAGGAAACCTAGTGTCCGTATTTGGCAGGGCTGCAAAGGATAACTAGGAGAGGGCAGGGCCTCATGGTTAGCAGGCAATTGGGACTCCGGACTTGTGAGTTCAGTTTGCAGCCTGACCACTGAATCTGTGTGACCGTGGGCAAATCACAACCCCCTTGCCTCAGTTTCCCCCTTTTGCAAATGGAGGAAAGGTTGCCTTTCCCATCGAGGCTTTGAAATGGAGGGAAGGCACGTCACATGCTTTGCCATCCCCTCAAGGAGGGCAAGAACAAACTCACAGCGTGAATTATTTCATTATCGCTGGAAACCTCCAATGACGGAGGAGACCAGGGGCAAAGTCTCCAGATTTCTGCCATTGAAAACTGTGTCCTAAGTGAGCAGTCACCAAGCAGTCGATCAGGATCTACCGGTAGATCTTGGAGCCTCGGACAGGGGATCCTGACTGGTTTGGCGGGGAAGCTCTCAAGCACTGGTGCTTCAGTGGCCCCTCCACCCCGTCGTGCTGCTCCTGCCATCTGCCTTGGAGCTGTCTCCTGGAGCCTCCTGTGTGACGGACCGGGCCGTGTCTGGGCACAGCTGAGGGCGTCCGCTCAGGGCGAATTGCTCAAATCCGGGGTTCCTTACAGCCCCCGACTGGTGACCTCTCCACACAGGCCACAAACCAGTCCCACAGAGCGCTTCAGCTGCCTGCCTGAAGCCTCCCGAGCAAAACCCCTCCGACACCCCAGCAATATCCGCGCCCCCGATGGCCCCGGGCCTCATACACAGCTGGTGGGTCCTAGCACCCAATCCCACCTACCCCGAACAAGTTCTGTCCGGTTCCAAGAAACCAGCCACAGATCCCTGGTCAATTTACCCTCTGGACCTTACCCACAAATCACGCTGGGCCAATCCTTTAGCATCTAACATCTAAAGGTTTATTATTACAGGAAAGAAAAGCATGAGAGTAAGGTTATTAAAGTACAGTACGTTACATGCACCGAATCTCCCAGTTCTCGATGCAGGCTCTAGCAGAGATGTTGCAGCTGCTGGTTTAAAAGTTCTTGTTGCACATCCTACGATCAGGATGGGTTCACAGGTCTTCCGGGCTCTTCAATCCCTGCAATGCTGCCTCTGGGATGAAGTGCTGAGCTGAGAACCAAATGGCATCGACCACATGGCCTCTTTATACCTCCTTCCTGGCCTCTTCTGGTATGCAA